AGCAGTGCCCTGGTTTGTTGGCGGTTACTTGTGGATTGGAGTCCTGTAGCTCAGTGGTTAGAGCACTCGCTTTGCAAGCGAGAGACCTGAGTTCAATTCCAGGCAGGGCGAAACCTTGGGCAAGTTTCCTTACTCCACACGCCTAATAATAATCCCTCCAAAAACAATAATAAATTGGTCATTTTCGATCTACAACTGTTTGTGGGACATTGCTGTGCGCAATTGGCTGCTGCGTTCGCCCACAAATATACAGTCAATTCACTTTACAGTGTGTTCTGTGAAGCGCTTTGGGACATCCTCCCGACGTGAAAAGCGCTATATCAAATGCAAGGATTATTATTATTATTATTATCCAGTGAAGTTGAGTGTGGGTGTGAATGATAGTTCATGGGCTGCAGAGCTCTGGATCGCATCCAACTTGTGTAAGAAAGAGCTGGGGATCCTGGTGAAGGCATTGGCATGGTCAAACCTGGACTTCATGAAAGTGTGAATGAGGGTCTCGGTAGCCCAGGGAGAGAGGTAGTCTTGTGTGCAGCCTGGTGTTGAAATATACTGATTATATACGATTATCACCTCGGGATACATTGATATATTGATAGCAGCAACCGAATGTTCCAGAAGACTTGGGAGTTAAAAGTGGATAGGTTGAGGTTAGCTTCTAATTTCATATTTTCATGCGAAGATGTTCACTCCTCTGAGATAATGAGCAATTGGGTCCTTCAGCACAGATGTAAGAACAATGGACCACAAAAAGAAAAGGCTACAGCCACAGACACCTGCCTATCTGAATGCTGAGTAACAAGCAGGCTGTGGGAGGCTGCCCAGAGGTTGTCCATATCTCTCTCTGTGCAAAGCAGCCTGCGAAGGGTGGGGGCTATCTCTGTGACAAGGGAAGGTGGAGTTAGAAACAAATAAAAGATGTAACTTTGAAATAGTTGGAGTTGTGTAGTCTGTTGCTTAGTATATCTGTATAAGAGATACAGTGTAGCTGATTTGTCTGTTCCATAGTTAATAAAACCTATATTTGAAAGTAATGTGGTATCAAGTAAATTTGTCTACACAGGATGTGGGCTTTGAGAGGCAGTTCGGGGCCAAACAAGACACCAAGGTTCCATGAAGTGGAATGAGCATTAATGCAGGTGAAAAGGCAAGCATGAAAGCCATATCTACGTTTAATTGAAGAAAGTTAGAGCTCATCCAGAACTTGATGAGCTGTAAATTTCCATTGCTCTAAGTATCTTTTTTAAAAGTAACTTGATATTTTAGTTTCTGATCTATGTATTGGCTGTGTTGAAACTGCTGTATGTGAATCATCTTGTTTGAACAAATTAATTAATGAAAAGGAACAAGAATATATTATTCAGTAGTTGGTAACACGGATACTCTCCAGGAGAGTAAATGTTTTGTAAAAAAACTATGATGTTAATTTCCCATGACAAACTTCTAACACATTTATGTAGCATTTTAGGGATGGGGGGGTGGGGGTTGAATTACAAACCAACATCACAGCTGGGGGATTTCCACTTCAGGCTTTTGGAATTTAGGAATTCTAAACTGGTTTCCTTCAAGGTTATTACCTCTAGAAGAATTCTGTATCAAAATTTGCATGATTACTTAAACATATATTCATGAACAAAATGACAGCCAGATTCACAATTTCTCAGGACAATTTTAATTGATATTTACTCCACATTAATTTTATAATGTCAAGATTGGCTTCCCATCTAATCCAATTTTATGGGATTACACTGTATTTGTGTCACCTATAATACAGACACAAGATTTGTATCAAGGAACTCTTTTGTCCTATTAACAAGCACTAATGAAGGCTGTTTTCTAATTCATTAGAATGATTTGGTTATGTGTGACAAAGCTTTTCCTCATACTATCAGAAACATCTAATCAATTTTTTTCTTTTTACTTTTTATTCATGGGTGGGGGAAGGGGGTTGGTGAAGGAGAAAAGATGAAGAGGGGGATTTGACAATCAAAAATAATAAATTATTAAAAATAAATTAGAACAAATGCAATAGAATTTGAAGAATAAGAGTAAAACGTTTTTCATTAAATTCTCATGTACCAGTCTACATTATTTTTTGAATGTCCCACATTTTTAATCAAGTATTTTAGAATGAAAAATTAAATGTGAAACTGTACAACAATAACAACTTGCAATTATATAGTGCCCTCCACAAAGGGTAGCATGTCAGAGCGCTTAACAATGGCGGAGGCTGACTCTGAGCTGAGGTGTGGGTGGTGGCCAAAAGCACGGTTGAAGAGAAATGTTTTCAGCCGGGACTTGAAAAGGGGGAGAGGGGGGGCAAGGTGAAGGGATTGAGGGAGAGTGTTCCAAAGTTTTGGGGTGTAGTAGCTCAAAACGCAACCTCTGATGGTGGGGCGGAGGGTGCGAAGGACGAGCAGGAGGCTGGTGCCAGTTGAGTGGAGGCACTGGATGGTGGATTGAAGAGTGAGGAGGTCGGAGAGGTAGGGAGGTGCCAGAGTTGAAGGGATTTGAACACGAGTGTGAGGATCTTGAAATCGATCCATTCGGTGATGGGGAGCCAGTGGAGCCTGGCCAGAACTTGTGAGATGTGGGTACAGTATTTGGTCCAGGTCAGTATGTGGGTGGCAGAGTTCTGAATGAACTGGATCTTTTGAATAGTAGAGCTGGGGAGACCAGCGAGGAGTGTGTTTGAGTAATCTGATTGGGAGGGGTGGGGGAGAGTGATGACAAATGCTTGCATGAGGGTTGTGGCTGCATTTGGGTTAAGGTACGGCCGGCGGTGAACAATGTGACAGGTGGAAGAAGGCGGTCCTGGTCAGGGACTGGATGTGGGTGAGGAAGAACAGCTGGGGGTCGAACCGGATGCCTAGATTGTGCACTGGTTCGGTGAGTCTGAGGGAGAGCCCAGGGAGGTTGAGTTCAGATCCGCAGGAGTGAAGACATTGACAGAAGCCAAGGAGTATGGCTTCTGTCTTGTCCATATTCAGCTGCAGGAAGTTTGCTCTCATCCAGGGCATGATGTCTGCCAGACAAGCTGAAGGAGGAAGGTAGATTTGTGTGTGATCCGCATACATGTGGAAGTTTACCCTGTGTCTGCGGATGACATCGCCCAACGGGAGCATATAGATAAGGAAACAAAGAGGGCCAAGGATAGAGCACTGGGTACCCCACAGGTGACCGGGCAGGGGCAAGAAGAGCAAGAAGAGAAAGCATTTGCTGAGATGAAATCAAGACAGTTGATTAAGTAGGAATCTATGCTTGAAATATTGAGCAATATTTGGCAAATTTTAAGATGTTTAAGATTTGTGTCTCCATTGATTCCTGTAAAGAGAATATAAAAAGCCCTATAAGATATACTGATAGATAATGTTTTCACAGAAAAACTATTAAAAAAGTGTTGTAATTAATTTGGTTGATGTACTGATAGTTCATAATGCCTTCCACTGAACCTATTTGATATATATTTAAATACAATTCAATGGAATTACTTGAGCCTAGAAAAATATGTAATTATTGGGTGGGAATGCAGAAGTGCCTTAAATAAATATTTAAGGGGAAAAATGTTCCATTGTATTTCTCATTTCCTTGTTAAAGAATCAATAAAATAAATGATAAGGCTTTGTTTTCATTGGCAACATTGGTTAATATTATATCACCATTATTGATAGTATCAGTGGATATTATTTTCATAATTTTAACAAAATTACCTGTGTTCCCAGACATTTTGATAAGAGGTGGCTTTGTATTTTTTTTAATATATTGAATTTATTCTTTTACTAGCTGTACCCATTGCAGCTACGCTTACAGCCAAAGGATCCAATATGGAATGTAGACTGACACACAGACAGACACACAGACAGACATTTCATCCTTATACTCATCTAGGAGGACTCCTGTGGGAGGACTCATTTTGGTCTTTCTGTTCTTTGAATGGGCAACTCATTTTGGCTCGTTGTTGCAGTCCTTTCAGCATTGAAGTGCAGCCGTGCTATTCTTTGTTCTTCAGTTTCATTTAATGGGCTTCTCTCTTTTATCGAAGAGTTTTATGTATCCTTGAAAGGATTGATTTTCACTTAGGCATCTTTGTAATGATCAACATAAATGTATAATTTATAATCACTGGGATGTCCTCCCAACGTGAAAGGCGCTTGAAAAATGTAATTTTGTTGTTGTTGCTGTGGCTTAGCTTCGTCTGTGTTCTTTATTTTCTTCCCGCAGGAAGAAAACAACAAGTAACAACAACGAAAAACGCAAAACTGAAATACATTTTTGGTCATAACTCATGAACAATAAGAGATACCTGAAAACAAATATGCCCATGTCACTCCTAGATGCAAGTCCTTTCCGATGATGTGTAAATCATGTCTTTACGTCAATCAGCTATTCAGATCCTTCTTGAAATACAGACAGACAGACAGACAGACATTGTCATTTTATTAGTTTAGAAGATAGATAGAAGATAACTTTCATATGTAGAGCCCCTTGCAAACACTAATCACTTTCCATCTACCTTGTTTATCATATAATTCCCTCAGTGCACAATTCATGGTACATTACAATTTCCCAGCAGTTCTTTCTATCTTCTCTTCCAATGTCGATCATTCAAAGTATCTTTTGAAACATTCACCTTTTTCAATTTACTTAAGATTCATCTTAAGATTCTTGAGAGGATTCTTATACACCAACATGGGGTTAAGGTTGTAATAGATTATGTACTTAATTCTATAGAAAATTGAAAATGAAAACACATATATATATAAAAATGAATAGGTTAAAAAACCCAGAAATTAAAACATTCAAAAAGCTAAAACAAAGGTTCAATACTCAGAGGGTTAAATTCACTGTCAAAATTAAAAGGTGAAATGTTCAGCAAACAATTTGTTATGACTTCCATATTGTATTCAAATTCAATTAATGAGTGGATGTATATAAAGCAATGCAAGTGTCTGGAAGTAATAGTCAAGCTGACATTTGTGTCCCAATTCCAAACTAGTGGAATGGGAAACTTTGTGTGGCTTGTTCTCTGGGCTCTGTTCATCTGTAAAGGTATTTTCTTTCACCTTTATGAAATTGAGATAATAATATATAGTTGTATATCAGTGCAAGATAAATTGAAGATCCAAAATCTTTGTTGTAAATATAGGATTGCTCTGGTTGTTTTATTAATATCTTACTATTACGTTTTTATGATATGAAGTAAATTTATTTTTTGAAACTTTCCAGCTGATGCCTCATCCAGGTTTGCTCATGGTTCCTCATTGCACAGTTATGGTAAGTTATCATTACCTTATTATTATTCATTATGATTCAGTTATACTAAAAAAAAAGTCAATTCACCTTACAGCATATTCTGTGAAGCGTTTGGAGACGTCTCAAAGACGTGATGAGGCGTTATATCAAATGCAAGGATTAGAAGGAATCGCATACTTTTAGAACTCAGAAGAATTAACCTTTCTTGTTCTTTAATTGATTATGATATTAAATAAATTTATTCTTTGAAACTTTCCAGCTTCATCAGCCTTTTTCTTTAATTGACATCCCAGCGCCTTGGAACGTTCTCCTGAAGTGAATGACACTTTACAAATGTTATTTTGTTGTTGTTGATTATATCTTCTGTGAAATTTTAACTCCTATTTTAATTTCAGATAACTCATGATTCCAGTTTTTACTTTATATTGATATGCCATGTCAATTGAACTGTTTGCTTGCAGATAACACTACACCCTTAAATGCACATGCAGAGCTTTGTTCACCGGCCTGTAACATTTTTAATATTAGATTACAGTTTATGTTCTTGGGATCTTTTACTAATGGAAAATTAACCCTGATTAACAAAGCAGGCTCACTTGTCAGTTGTGTTATACGAGTTGCCCAGTTTTGATTGTTTTCTATATCACATATTTTTATGCTGAGACCATCAACATTTCCTTAGTTCTTTTCAGGCCTGAAAAAGAGTCTTTCTTTGTCCAAGAGAAACATTATTTTAAAGTCATGTATCAAGGCACCTTTAAACATTTGTTCAAAGAAATGCTTCATCAAACTTACCTATCATTAATAACAATTTCCAGTTGATAAAACATTCCTTAATTATTTTAGCAATAATTAAGGAATGAAATATATTTAAAGAAAATTGCAATTTCAAGTAAGATTAATGTTGTAATTGCAATTTATTGTTAGATTTGCTTGTTTTTTCTAATGTATAAGTGGTACTAATCTTGAAAATAAGGCATTGTGAGATATTTCTGAAAGCATTAATTTTAGTTTAATTGTCTTATTTGAACAGATTTGAATGGAGTTGCTCGCTCAATTATCCCCAGAGCATTGAGTGAAACATCAACATTTGATAGCAGCACTGGTAAACACTAACGTATTTTCTCATTACGATATTTGAATAGTAAGTTTCTGTTATTATACTAAAGTAATGTTATTTCTATTGTTTTTCAGTGTCTTGTAGCACATGGGGAAAAGGAGCATTCAGGACATTTAAAAATGAATTTTACCATTTTATCTCAACCTGCAACTATGTTCTAAGCCACAATTGCAAAGGTGGCACAGAAGATTTTAACATACAAATCCACCGAGATTCAAATGGCGATCTGGAACGCATGTACATCCAAATAGAAGATATCATAATTCTTGTGGTGAATGGAACAATTACCGTTCAAAATGAGATGTAAGTATTGTCTGCATTCATTAGAGCCACATGGGTGTTGTGTTTCTCTTCTTGATGGACTTCGGTCTAACGACTGTATATTCCTATCCTTAACAACAACAAATTGCATTTATATAGTGTCTTTCAAATTGGAAGGACATCCCAAGGCGCTGAGTGGAGGAAATAAATGGGATTGCCTTAGAGCTGAACTGAATCCAAGGTGACATGGCATCTCTCCAAGCAGAGTGTGTGCATTCCACACCAATAAATATCTCAGGAATTTCTATGTATAGATGGGAAGCATGGAACTCTCAGTTTAGTTTGGATATTCTTAAGCATAGGAATGAGATTCCATGTGTTCACATGATTGACCAAACCAATTCCAGCCAGTTATTTGTTCAGCATAATATGGATGTCAGCAATGGAAATATTTATAACTGAATATAAGAATCAATGCTTTTATCTCTGAGATAGATCTCCTGAATATAGTGGAAAAAATGTTAAATGTGTTCTAAGATTACATCACAATTGTAGTAATTTTAATTCTCAGTTTGGGTTCAGCAATAATTTTATTTTTTAGAGTTACATTGCCTTATGATGACAAGGTGATCAGTATACAGAATTATGGAATACATATACGGATTTCAAACAGGAAGCATACGATAGCTCTGATATGGAACCAACAAGATTCATTATCGGTAAGCTTGTTTAAAAATGTCAATCATTTTTAAAGTACATGATTAATTTTGTTGTAGAGTAGTTTGTTTACCCAGGTGACAACAACAACAACAACTATCTTATATTTCTATAGCGTCTTTCACATCAGGATGACATTCCAAGTTGCTGGACAGACAGAGTTTCGAACCCAAGCTGGGGGTCAGGGTCGGAGAGGGTGGAGGCAGGAGGGGAAGCAGGAAGATTGAAAGAACGGTCGAAGAGGAGGGGCTTGTGATGGGTCTTGAAGGAGGAAAGGGAGGGAGCAAGGTGGAGGGACTGTGGGATGGACGGGGGGCATGAAGCAGGCCGGAGCCCGCTAAGTGGAGGGAGCGAGCAGGATGGTAGGGGGTTGGGAGGTCACAGAGATAGGGGGAGCAAGACCGTGGAGGGTTTTGAAGATGAGGACCAAGATCTTGAACTGTGTCCTCTGTTTGATAGGAAGCCAGTGGAGTTGGGCGAGGATGTGGGTGATCAGGTCACGGCGCCTCGGGCGGAAGAGGACTCAGGCTACAGAGTTCTGGATGCTCTGGAGCCTATGGAGGGAGGAGTTGGGGAGGCCGACAAGCAATGAGTTTACATAGTCGAGCCTCGATGTAATGAAGGCATGTATAGAGTTTCGGCGGCCTGCAGTGTGAGACAGTGGTGGCATCGGATGACGTTGCAGAGGTGGGAGAAGGCAGAGCGGGGTAGAAAGGATAGTTGAGGGTCAAACAAGACCCCAAGGTTCCGGACTGGCTTAGAAAGGTGGAGTGTGCAACCATGGATGGTGATGCTGTCAGTGCCTGAGGTGGGGAGGTGCTGACAGGAGCCAATCAGAGAGCCTCGGGTCTTGTTGATGTTCAACTGAAGAAAGTTAGCTCTCATCCAGGACTTGACATTCTGTCAGGACAGCAGTGGTCCTGGAGTCAAGGGTGGAGGCAGAGAGGTACAGTTGAGTGTCATCCGCATCAATGTGGAAGTTGACCCCATGCCTGCGGATGCTGTCGCCAAGAGGGAGCATACATATATATATATATGTGCATATAGATATTGAAGAGGATGGGACCAAGGACATAGCCCTTAGGAATGCCACACAGATAGTGCGGGGGCTAGAGGAGACACAGTTTGTGGAGATGAAGAGGAGGCGGTGTGAGAGGTATGATCTGAACCAGTCAAGGACAGAGCCGTGAAGGTTGAGGTGAGAGGAGAGGTGGTGGATGAGGATAGAATGGTCGACCGTGTCAAAAGAAGCAGAGTGGTCAAGAGGACGAGGAGGCAGAGGGGCCCTGGTCGCAGATGGACAGAATGTCATTTGTCACTTTAACCAGGGCTGTTTCTGTGCTGTGGGCGGCACTGAAACCCAATTGAGGGGTTCGGTGAAGGGAGTGGGAGAGGAAGGAGCAAAGCTGAGAAGCAAACCAGGGAGGATAGGAGTAACGATGGCGGTTTTTAATGGGGTGGGAACAGTACCAGAGGACAGGGAGAGGTTTACGATGTCTGTGAGTAGAGGGGTAAGGATGTGGAGCTGGGAGGTAAGGAAGGGGGTAGGGATGGGGTCGAGGAATCAGGTGGTCGGTTTCATGCGGGTTATGGTGGTGATGAGAGAAGAGGAAACAGGTTTGAAGGTGTGGAGGGAGGGATGGATAGTGGCCAGAGTGGGAGGGGGAGATTGAATTTGAGGTGAGGATGGGCGGGGAGTGAGAGGGTGGTTGGAGGAGCTGGCTCGTGATGAAGAAGAGGAGTCTGAGTTTGTCCTTAGCCTCCAAGATTGTCTCGGAGTAGAACAACAATTTAGCAGAGGCGAGGGCGGAACAGTAGGAATTGACATGATCCAGCCAGATCTGCTGATGGGCTGTTAAGTTTGATTTAAGCAGGGTGCGCTCAGCGGCACGCACCTGTGCTTTAAGAGACCGAAGGTGGCTGGTGTACCATGGTGACTTACGTGAATAGGTGACAGTGACAAGCATATAGAAACAGGAGCAAGTCATTCAGTTCTTCAAATCTGCTCGATTAGTCCATCAGCCCTTTGAACACTCAATTAGATTACACCTTTCACATACTCCTCTTTGAGGTCAGCTAGTCCAGCTTCCAACCTGCCTATAATCAAAGAGCTGCAGCAGTTTGGAAGTTAATAAGGATATTCTTTTTCCTTGCAACTGAAGCTGGTTACCCCTCATCCTCCTTGACTTCTTCATACCCCTTAACACTTCAATGTCCCTTATCTTTGGCTTACTTCTGTGGCCCTTTCCTGGTTCCAACCTTACATTTCCCAACATCTTCATGATATCATGTCCAACAGCTTCTCATTTTAAGATCACGTGCTCACTTCCTGTGTGTCTCAGGTCTTTATCCTTCATCCTCTCTTAATCTTTATCCAAATGCTTCACCCTAGTGAGATAATCTGGAAGCATGGGTCAGCTTCTACAATGACAAATAGTTGTTATGCTGCAGATATGACACTTTCCCAAATTATTCTCTTCTGTAGTGTTTGAGGGTAAAACAAATAAATTTGAGTAAATTCTTTTGACTCCTGTCAATAAACACTGCAATGATTCCCAAAAAAGGTAAAAGCTTTGAAAAATAGAAGGAACTTTTTAAGTAATGAATTAGTTAATATTGTTAGTAAACACTTTATGTACTTTTGTTTACAGGTAGCTGTTGATGCTGAATACCAAGGGCAATTATGTGGTCTTTGTGGGAATTTTGAAGATACCAACAATATTTATGGTAAAAAAAAACTGGATTTTGTTTTGTTTGCCTGAAACTCAAGGGTCTGATTATGTTATTGATGAATCAATTGTATAATTTGATCATTTCCTTGTTGTGGCTCACAAGTATATAATACTCAAGTGTATGTTTTTTCATGAGCTTGATGATGTTGTATCTTGGGGGTTTTCTTTCAGATTCAACTTTTTTTCAAGAAAATAAGCTGGATGTTTTGGGCCAATTTTGTTATAGCAACTCCACTACAGATTTGTCATGTCAATCAGCTGATGTAAGTTTATATCTGGAGAAAATTTTCGTTTTTTTTCTTTTGATCTGCTGTAGGTTTTGCCTGGGATGAGTTGTTTTACCTATGGGAATGGAAGAAATGTGCCTATTTTTACTGGAACAGAGAAGGGTAAATTGAAATTATTATAGGGTTTGCTAGACTATGTAGGGAGAATTTATTTCTACTAGTCAGTGAACCAATGACTGGGGAGCATCAATTTAAGATATTTACCAATGAAGTAAATTAGCAAAGAGATCAGATGAAATGTTTTTGCACAAAGTTGTTAGGATACCCTCCCGAGAGTTGTGGTTGAGGCTTTTATTATTTTTTACAACAACAGCAGCAATAAATTGCATTTATACAGTGCCTTTCATGTCAGAAGGATGTCCCAAGATGTTGGACAGTCAAGGGTTTGCACCTGAACTGGGAGTTGGAATCCAGTAGGGTTGAGGCCACAGGAGGGGGAGATGACCAGCCAATCAAAGAGGAAGGTCTTGAGATAAGCCTTGAAGGAGGCAAGGGAGGAGGTGAGGGGCTCCTGGATGGAGTTCCAGAAAGGCTGAAGGCCTAACTACCGATGGGGGAGTAAGTGGGCAGGGTGGGGGACATGGAGAAGGCCAAGCAGAGGGAGTGGGTAAGTAGATAAGGTTTTAGCAGATCGCATAGTTAGGGAGGAGCAAGAATGTGGAAGGCTTTAAAAGTGAGGACGAGGATCTTAAACTCAATCCTCTGAGGGATGGGGAGACAGTGAAACCGGGCAAGGATCGGGTGATTGGCTCCTGGAGCTTAGTGAGGGATAGGTCACAGGCTGCAGTGTTCTGAATAATCTGCAGCTTGTGGAGGGAAGCATTTAGAAGTCTGGTGAGCAGGGAGTTTGCATAGCCTGGACATGATGAAAGCATAGATAAGGTTTTGACAGCCTGAGGGAAGAGGTAGTGGCAGAGGCGGGCAATGTTGTGGAGGCAGAGAAAGGCAGAATAGGTCATGGAGGCAGAGAAAGGCAGAATAGGTCATGCCACGGCTATGGGGTTTAAAGCATAGTTCTGGGTCCAAGGCTCCATACTGACTGGTTGAAGTGGACAGTGCATCCCTGAATAGTGATGTTGTCAGCGCTTGAGGTGAGGAGCCGCTGATGGGAGCCAAGCAGGAGGGCCTTCTTCTGGTCAATATTCAACTGGAGAAAGTTGGCTCTCATCCAGGACTTGATGTCTATCAGATAATCCATCAATACAGCAGTGGTCCTGGAGTTGAGGGTGGAGGCAGAGAAATAGAGTTGAGAGTCAGCCGCATACATTTGGAAATTAATCCCTTGCCTGTGGATGATATCACTGAGTGGAAGCATCTAAATATGAAAGAAGAGGACCAAGAGCAGAGCCTCGAAGAACGGCTCACATGACGGATAAGGTATCTGCCATTAGCAGATTCAAAATGGAGACAATGGGAAAGAGTAAAACCAGGCAAGGATAGAACTGTGAAGGTGGAGCTGAGAGGAGAAGTGGTGAAGACTGGAATGGTCAACAGTGTGGAAGGTTGAAGAGAGATCAAGAACAATGAGGAGACAGAGAGAGCCCTGGTAATTTTGGGGGAAACTAGATAGATATCTGAAAATCTGTCATTTGAAGGGAAACTGTAAAAAGGTAAGTAAATAGGACTGAATAGATTGCTCTTTCAAATAGCAAGCATAGACACGATAAACCAAATGGTCTATTTCCTGTGCTATAAATTTCTATGATTCTATAGATTTCCAGCTTTTACCAGTTTATTTATTTTATTTTTGCAACCTTTAACATATGCAGAACACAAACCTAATGATAAAATATACATTTAAAGTATGTTATTCAAAATGAGGAAATATTAATTATGGGAAATCAAACATTTTGCACAATGCTGCCTGTGACTTTAGTCAGTCACTCATATGTAACACCACCATGATAATGCTATGAAGCTGCAAGTTTTAAAGAGAATTTCTCAAGTAACAGTGTGATTTTTCATTCTTTCTGATGTCCTGTTTTTATGCCTACATTTACATTAAAGTGAATTCAACATACACTTATTTAAAGTTAATTTAATGGTATAATTTGTCCCGCACAAATGCTGCAAGTGTGCACTGTATGTATTTTGTAGCAGTATTAGTGCAGTATTCTGCAAGAAGACTTTGTAGTTCATGAATTCGTAGAATTGACAAACAATATCACATTGAAGATAAGTTTACCTCTTCAAGCACCTCAGAAAATAAATAAAGGTAACAAATAGGAGCTCTGAGCAAGTATGAACATCTCTCTTTTTGCACAGAAGTGCTTTGAGACGTCTAGAAGATGAGAAAAGTGCTATATCAAATGCAAGGATTATTATTATTATATAAATATTGGTGGTAAGTATATTTGCTTTGAAATGTGGGGAAGATCCTATTATTATAGTGGAATAGGTATTTCAGTATACCATGAGAATGTCATAACTAACACTCATAAGAAATCATGGAATAAGAAAAAAACTTGATTCAGCCCATCAAGCTCACTTTTTACATGCACCACATACAATCTGCCCTGTCATGGGCTCTACCTTGACTTCTTTCATTTTTGAAGGGAAATTTCTGCATTGATACTGTTTGATGCTCAGAAACATTTGATCAATATTCCAGGTTTTCTATCCATCTCCATATTTCCCTTCTTCACCCATGGCAACTATTCCACGGATATAGCAATTCCCTAGAACCAGAATTATGGGAACCTTCATGTTCCACAATGTATTCGACTATTTGAGGGCTTTTGTAGTGGGATATTGTTAATTATATTCTCTTGTGTTTTTTCTTTATTAGGAATGTGAAACAATACCACTATATTTTTTAAAATGTTTTAACGAGCTTGAAATAAGACTGTATATGAAAATGTGCCAGGCAGATGTGTGTGCATTGAAAAACAAATGTGCTACTTTTGAAGAACTAGCACGGCGGTGCAATAAAGAGACTTTTGAAATAATAAACAACTGGAGAATAAACGCACATTGTGGTAAGTTGTCTCTCCAAAGCAGATGTAGAACACATTTAAAACTGCATTCAGTATTAAAAAAAAACTCATCATTTATCATTTAACAAGTGATGTTACATTCACAGGATCCAGTTCAAAACCCTGGTCTTCACCTAACTACAAAGCCCTCAATGGTCTTGCCCCATCCTATCTCGTGACTTCCTAACCCCTACCAACCCGCCCGCTCCCTCCGCTCAGCCGGCTCTGGCCTGCTCCACGTCACCCGTCCCACCCGCCCCACCACTGGCGGAAGAGCCTTCAGCCACTCTGCCCCCAACCACTGGAACTCCATCCCCCAGTCACTCCACCTCACCCCTTCCTTAGCCTCCTTCAAGTCCCGCCTCAAAAGCCTCCTCTTCCACCATGACATTGGTCACTCCCCTTCCCCTCCCCTCCCCTCTCCCCCCCTGGCCCCAGATCCTCCCAACGTGAAAGGCGCCATACAAATGTAATCTTATTGTTGTTACGTTCATGATAAGTGAAATGGTGGAGCATTTGATGGGATGAATGGCCCTAAGAAAACTAATTTTCACTCTTAAATTGTTAAACAGGATTTAAAAATAGATGTATTTTGTAGCTGAAGATCATTAATGCTCAAATTGTAAAATGAAGCTAATCAAAATAAAACTTAACTTATGCTTCATATTTCAGCACTACCCGTTTGTCCTGAAAACCAGATTTATAAGGATTGTGGACCTGCTTGTATTTCAACCTGTTCTGATCCCAAACCTCAACAACAGTGTGCTCGATGCATAAGTACTTGCGATTGTCCAGAAGGTAATACAAGTTTACTGATAGGAATAAATTCACTATCTTTTAAATGAGATTATTTGTTTCATTGTTTTTATATATAACATGTTGTAAAACTGTTTATTTTTGCACAACACTGCTCCTTTTATATTCATGTGCATGTAGTACCTTAAAATAACTTGTTGAGTATTTTCTAAAATGTAAATCCAACTGGCAGGGCAGGCTTCACACTTTTAATTATAACTTATCTTTGCTAAAAGTGTTAAAGGAGGTAGATATTAGTACTCTCCAAAGAAGAAAATCAATATGCCAATGTCATGCAAACCTTTAAATTGGTAATGCAGCAATTTAGAAAAGAACTGGGAGCAGGATGCTGCCCATCTTCACAGTTAAGAGAATCTATAACCAGGGGTCACAGTCTTAAAATTAAGGGTCAGCCTTTTAGACCACAGTTGAGGAAACACTTCTTCTCTCAGAGGGTAGTGAATTTATGGAATTCACTACCCCAAAAGGCTGTAGATGCTCAGTCCTTGAACATTTTCAAGGCTAAGACTGATAGATTTTTGAAAAATAGAGGGATTAGGGGATATGGGGATAGGGCAGCTAATTAGAGTTAGGTCAGAAGGTAAGCCATGATCTTATCGAATGGCGGGGCAGGCTCAAGATTCATTCAATTCTTACCTATTTTAAATATTCTGTCTAAATCGTACAACAATTCGGTTAATCCGGCCAAAATACCACACTGGTCACTGCTGAATGTGCCGCTTGCGTGTTCTGTGTTTCAAGCGGCTCCATTCAGTTACGAGCTCCAGGATGGAGATGGGAGAAGTCAAATTGTGAGTCATTGACAGCGGAATCCAGCCATTCACAAGCGGCTTAAGATGGGCTGTGAATCAATGAGGGGGCAGAGGGACAGGAAGAAACAAAGGAGGGGATGGAAGGGGTCAAATTATGATTGATTGGCAACTCAGCCACTTGTCAATGGGTGGAGTCCAAACAAAAACAACAGCAAAATTACATTGTTAAGCGCCTTTCATGTCGGGAGGACATCCCAAAGCACTGGACAGACAAAGTTACAGACTGGAGCTGGGGGTCAGAGTGGGGGAGGATAGAGGGCAGGGGGGGAAGCAGGGAGATCGAAAGCACGGTCGAAGAGGAGGGTCTTGAGATGGGTCTTGAAGGTGGCGAGGGAGGGGGTGAGGCAGAGGGACTGCGGGATGGAGTTCCAGCAGATGGGGGCAGAATGGCGGAAGGCCCGCCCGCCAATAGTGAGGCGAGCGAGACTGGGGACGTGGAGCAGGCCGGAGCCCGCTGAACAGAGGGAGAGAACAAGATGGTAGGGTGTTAGGAGGTCGGAGAGGTGGGGGTGGGGGGGCAAGACCATGGAGGGCTTTTAAGGTGAGGACCAGGATCTTGAACTGTATCCTCTGTGTGATGGGAAGCCAGTGGAATCGGGCGAGGATGGGGGTGATAGGGTCGCGGAGCCTGATGCGGGAGAGTTCTGGATGATCTGCAGCCTGTGGAGGAAGGAGTTGGGAAGACCGACAAGCAGTGAGTTTACAGTGAGCCTCGATATAATGAAGGCATGTATGAGGGTTTCAGCGGCCTGCGGTGTGAGACAGTGGTGGAGCCGAGCTACGTTGAGGTGGTGGGGGAAGGCAGAGCGGGGCATGGCGCAGATTGTACATAATATTCATAAGTGGGTTCAGGCTGTCAATCACCTCGGAGCCGTCGCTAATTGGTCCCTTTCCCGTCAAATGGAAATGGCAATGGGAGTGAGGAAGCATCGCCACTGCTCCTCTGCTGGGCGAGAAGAGGTAATGGAACTCTGGCCTAACCAGCTTCCACTGTACTTTGTCTTGAATGGGTGTACTTAGAAATGTGTTTTGATACATCTCAGGCACTGTTCTTGATAACCTAAGAGGCACAGACAGATGCATCAAAAAAACAGAATGCCCGTGTGAATATGGTGGAAAGATTTATGAATTTGGAGAAGCACGGACGACTCCCTGTCAAGCTTGGTAATGACTTTCAATGCATGTCAGATTCTTTTTAATCCTACATTTTGTAATGTTTCAATAGTAATTCTAATTTCTTTTGTTAAACAAATATTTTATTTTATTTTAGCATCTGTAAAGGAGGAATATGGTCGTGTACCAGTCTCAGCTGTCCTGGGAGATGCAAAATTGAAGAAGCAAGCTACATCACCACATTTGATAACAGTTATTACACTCTGATAGGATATTGCTCATACTATGCTGTCTTTGTACGTCCACTTTTCTACATTTGTTGCTTATATTATGTACAATCTGCTTTCATAATAACATCATGTAGCCACATCAATATAACTAACATCATCCATATTATTCTGTCTGGGTGATATATTTTTTCCCCTGAGTGTTTCATCACTGAATCTTTTTTCACCAGACAGAGAAATGGACAATAAAAGTAGACATAAATCCATGTCAAGCGGCCTTTAAACAGACATGTTTACAGCGTATTTTGTTAACAAAGAACCAGGTAAGAATTTGTCCTATGTATGAATTGAACTTTTGTTCTGGCAATTGGCTTTCTGAAATGACAGAAGTCCAACATCTCCTTTTATAGACCATATATGCATTCAGTAATGATGGCAGGATTTATTCTGATGGACGTGAAGTAGCAACACCTCTGAAAACAGGTACACACATATTATTGTCCTGCTCTGTGAAATAATAAAATAGTTTAAAAGTGTTAGTTAACTGAGCAAATAAATAGTTGACTAAAACCAATGCTGTTTTTAATCCACAGATGAAGTAATAATATTTCAACAGTCCTCAATGTACCTACAAGTAGCAACAACATTTGGATTGAAAATGCAAGTGCAAATCACTCCTGTCTTACAGCTTTACATATCATTGTCTGAAGAGGCAAAGGGAAGCACAAAAGGTAACAAAATATGCATTTAAATAACATTCAACTTTGGTGACTATGCAACCATTTATACAGGAACTATGTCAGTCCATCAGTTACAAAAGGTACAAGGCTACTTAAAAAGAAAGGATTTTTTTGCGTGGAATTCTTAGCTAAGAGGAATTCCTATGTTGGAAGTGCTTATCAATGATAACGAATTTTCTTTTTTTCCAGGTTTATGTGGCACCTTCAATGACAATGCAGGTGATGACTTTCTGACTGCACAGGGGATTGTGGAAGATACAGCTATTACTTTTGTGAATTCCTGGCAGACTCAAGACAATTGTCCTGATGCAACACTACCCCAGCCTTGCATTAGTTCAGAAAATGGTAATGTTGTATTACATCTTCCCTTCTGACTGCAACAGTAATAACTTCACTTTGTGATAACTATCGTCTGAGAGGAAGAGGTAGGTAGGTCTATGGCATGGAGCTAAAATGACACCAAGGTGATGTGTCAGAATCACTGTGGTGGTCTCAGTAGTCTGGTTCCTGCAGCTCTGCAGTACTCCAGGGCACTGCTGATCACAGACCAGCCATCCTGGCTGATTAGCAGGACTTGAAGGGCCAGACTTAGAGGCACAGAATCTTCCCACTCAGCATCTTTTAACTCTTCAAGCAAAAGTGTGTCCCTCTTGTGTCCCTCCAGGGAAAATGTGTACATTCCATTCATATGAGAAATTCCCTGTGTAGGTGAGATGCATTGAACTCTCAGTTTGGTTTAGCTACCTCTAAGCATGGATTTCCTCATGTCTCAGATATCCGACTGGTACTACCCTCCGTGCCCCAAAATATAATGTGCCACTATCCCCCTAAATATAATTATATTATAATAGAATTTACTAGATTAATTGATGTTCAAACTCAGTTTCTTACAATTATTCTTTGGGACTGCTGTTAGAAAAGTTTGGAATCAGTGGACATATCCATTCTCACAATAAAAAGCAATTCATTTTATGTTTCAGAAAAATACGCAAAGGAGTTGTGCTCCAACTTGAAAGATCCTTCAGGTGTCTTCTCAACATGTCATTCTGCAGTGGACTACATCAGATACTATGATGTAAGAATTCTTTGTAAAGTTTACAAATAGAATTATTTCATTATCACCACATCTACATCTGAGCATGTGCACCCAACCTCCACCGAGCACTTGCACCAGGCCCCTGAGTGGCCCTCCAATAGACCAGGGGCCTCTGTGATGCATCTGAGCTTGTGCTCAAACTTTTCCAAGAGCCTATGACTGGTGCGGGTGCTCGGCAGAGGTTGGGTACACATGTTCAGATGCATTGCAATGGCCTCTGGTCTTTTAGAGCTAGGGTGGGATGCCACTGGCCCTCAATAGACCAAAGGCTTCTGCGATGCATCTGAGCATGCGTGCCAACCTCCACTGAGCCTCCGCACCAATCACAGGATAGGGCAGGAGGTCTCTTGCAATGTAAGACTCCATGCATGATGAGTTATCCAATCAATTTTACATTGTAAGTACTTAAAAAAAATTCTGCAAATAGAATCAGCTATGTGTTAAATAGAGTGACGAGTGAAAAGATGCCCGAGTTTACTTTATTAAAGAAAACAGTTTCATTTTAAATATTTTATGAAGACTCAGGAATTCTTGGAGTCACAGATTTGAAAGTGCAATGTGAATATTTATGTCTTGATATGTAACCTCTAATTTAATTTGTATTAAGCCCAGTTCAGGTTTGTCTTGTAGGCCACATAAACTTACAATAAATACTTTTATATACTGCAGACATAAATGTATAATTAACCAAATACGACTCCTCAGTCTACCTTTTGTCATAAAATCTATCTATTCCATTTCTATTTTGTAGATGTGTGTAGCTGCAACCTGTGGCTGTGAGGACATCAATGACTGTCTGTGTGCAGGATTGGGAGCATACGCTCATGAGTGTGCTGCTAACGGGATCATTGTGAAAGATTGGGGAAGAGACATTTGTGGTATATTGCAATCATGTTTAACCTTTAAGGGAAGAAGTAAAGGATAAAATTTTTCATTCACACTTCAAATAGAAAATGCATTCCTGCTGAACAAACTCGAAAACTTATTCTGTGTTTTTCTGTCACTGGTATTCAGAGTGCGCTGGTTAATGCAGCTGAACAATTATAATAGACTGGCTAATAGACTAGATTTGTGGTCACTGAATTCAAGCGATTCAATGTTACCTTTTTGTGTCTGAATGAATGAAGAGTTACAGTCTATATGTGCTGTGATTTCTATGATTCTATATCAATAACTGAGAGGTTTTAGGAAACACGGGAATGTAGACTGAGAGGATATTTTTATAGAAAAATGTGATAAAGGCAGAAAATAAATTGCTGGACCTAAAAATATCCAAATGCATAATTCCTAAGATACCTAAGAAGCAACCTACAGACACGATATACCAAGACCATTCAGAGAGGACACAATTTGAATATACGAAAGCATTTCAACGAAAGTTTTTCAAATTTAGGTAGATGGAACTTTTGAAATACACGCTTTTAACCCAAGTCATCTGGTTGGTAAGAGTCAACCTTTTTTGGTTTCCAAAATCATGACTGGAATGACAGCAAATCTTTGAGCTTCTCATTTTAACTAAATTACAGGAGATTTTTTTTCATAGGACATGACATATTACTCCTGAAGAAGTTGAGTCTGTAAAGGTGAAAAATAACATTTGTCAGTATGTTCAAGGGATGATCCTAGAAACTTTGACTCTACTCCAATGTTACAACACAAATGCCTAACTTTGGTGGGCCCAGAGTGACGATATTGGATGTTTTGGTTCATTTAAGCAATCTAAAACAGGAATTATAAACCCAGTTATGCACTTTTACTAGCACTTATACTGCCAGAGCAAAATATCTTCACTCCCAGCAAAATAAATGCCTTAATTTTTCTGTTGAAAATCAGATATTAATTTGTAATTTGTATGCTTACATTACTCTCTATTGATTCTCTACCATGTTGGAGCCATCTACAACAACAACAACAAGATTCCATTTATTGAGTGCCTTTCACGTCGGGAGGACGTCCCAAGGCGCTGTACAGTTGGGTCAGGACTCGAGTAGGGGGGAAATGGTCAGGGTGAGGGGAGGGAAGGGAGGGAGCGAGGAGGGGGTAGAGAGTCGAGAGGGGAGCTGAAGGCACGGTCAAAGAGAAAGGTCTTGAGACCGGCCTTGAAGGAGGAAAGGGAGGAGGCGGCGAAGGCACTGGGGGATAGAGTTCCAGAGCCTAGGGGCTGAGAGGCTGAAGGCCCGGCCACCGATAGTAGGGCGGTTGGGGCGGGGGATGTGGAGCAGACCGGAGCCAGAGGAACGGAGGGTACGGGCGGGTAGGTAGGGGGATAGTAGGTCGGAGAGGTAGGAGGGAGCGAGGCCATGAATGGCCTTGTAGGTGAGGGTGAGGATCTTGAATTCGATCCTCTGGGGGATGGGGAGCCAGTGGAGGCGAGCGAGGGTGGGAGTGATGTGTTCCCGAAGCCTGGTGCGGGACAGTACATGAGCTGCAGAGTTCTGAATGACAGCTGAATGATAATTAATGTGTTTATTGGGATAATGTGTTACATGTGACACATGTTTTGTTTCTTCTAGATAAACCATGCACCAACAATCATGTTTTTGAGTACAACATAAGATCGTGTAACCGCTCCTGTAGATCCTTATCAGAATACGATTTTACTTGTAACATTCAAGATGTTCCTGTCTATGGATGTGGCTGTACTGAAGAATTGTACATGGACAGCAACAGAGTTTGCATCAGTAGATCAGATTGTCCATGTTATATTGGCGACCTGATTATAAAAAAAGGACAAAGTGTCAATATTAATGGTAAAACCTGGTAAGAATCTTTCATTATATTCTACAAACATTGACTGAAACCAGCATGGGTCGCCCACTCCCTTTCTCCCAGGTGAACGTTCTCTCATGGCAGCAGTAGGTGCCGGCTTTTGGGAGGACATAGGGTGAGGAGTGGAAATAATGCTGGCTGTTGCTGCAGTGTATCACACGGCTGGGAGAGCAGCCGTTTCTGCTGCCAGAGCCAGATGGCTGATTGAGAGAGAGAGAGAGAGAGAGAGATTGAGAGATGGGGAGAGGAGGAATGATTGAGAGAGAGTGCAAGGTGAGAGTGAGAGGTTAGAGGGAGACATTGACAGAGAGAGACAAAGAGAGAATGAGAGAGGGAGCGGGAGAGAAAGAAACAAAGGGAGGGAGAGAGTAGAGAGAGTGACTGGGAGTGGGGAGATAGAGTGTGTGTGGGAACCATTTTGCCCCACTCTCTGGAGTTCTTTTCCTAGAGTCCCTCCAACTCGCTCCCTCCCCTCATTCAAGACATGTCAAGAACTAATTCTTTGACCACACTTTTGGTCGTCTTTTCCCCTCCCCATTCAACCTCCCTTGGATCCCACCCCCAGCTGAAATATCCAGCCAGCAATGTCAAGCGCTCCCTTGGAGTCCTTCCTGGGTGAAAAAGATGTTTAAATGTTGTCATGTTTCTCAAATTGGGCATTCAGCCTGGGGCAGCCAAAAGGTTGTCCCACCCTGAGTAAAACAAGTAAACACATATAATACACATTATGGAGTCCTGTAGTGGTTAGAGCACTCACCTCGCAAGGGAGAGACCTGGGTTTGATTCCCGGCAGGGCGAAATCTTAGGCAAGTTTCCTTACTCTACACCCCTGATAATAATCCCTCAAGAAAAAAAAGCAATAATAAATTGATCACTTCAATCCACGACTGTTTGTGGGACACTGCTGTGTGCAATTGGCTGCCATGTTTCGCCCACAAAATATACAGTATATTCTGTGAAGCGCTTTGAGACGTCTAGAAGATGCAAGGATTATTATTATATTATTATTATAAACTATAATACTTCTTCTTTGTTCAGTACTTGTGAAGATGGAAAGCTTTACTGTTTAACAACTCGCACAACCACTGCGCCAGGTGAGCTGTTGTTTGAACTTCTAACAATAGGTATTAATAATTGAATCAAAATCAATAAAATGTAATTTTATAAACAAACATTGTTCTTTTTTCCGTAGGATGTAGTAATGGAAAAGTACATTTTGACTGTGTTAATTCTGCCACAAATCAAACTTTTTGTGAAAAGGCATGCAGAAGACGGAATAAGCTATGTGTAAGTGAAATTTGTACTTTCATCATTTCTTTCATCCAACAGAATTCATGTTGTCTTGCAAGTTTCATTAGGCGCACTGAAAAGCAGCTTTAACTTATGCATTTAATATCAGGATAAAATTCATAAAAGGCATCATTAATTACAAAATAATAATGAAAGTAGATTATGCCTGAGAGCTCTCTGTTCTGGAAGAAGATTGTATTGAAGGGAACTTCCTTCAGACCTTGAGTAATTATTAATAATTCCTATTGAAAATGGCTGCAATTTTAGCTTCATCATGTAGGAAAACAATTACTAATTAATTTGAACATAGATATATTCTTAGTCCTTTTAGTTTTGCTTTTCCATGAATTCTCTCTTTTCGTGTTGTATTACTCTTGGTCTGTGTCCCTCTCTCTCTCACACACACACACAGAATGCTACATAATTTGCACAGTGAATGAAATATAGATTCTTTATTTAGCCATTAATGTTCAGATATAGTTTAGGAATAGATTTAATTTTATGGAAATTCTTATTATGACATTCTAAAAATATATATTGACTGCTTTCTTGATGGCATTTATCAAAATCAGCTAATTCATTTCCTTTAAAAAAGTCAAATGATCAGTGCTTACCTGGCTGTATCTGCCCTGATGATCTTGTGGAGGACAACAATGGAGATTGCATTGCTTCTGAACTGTGTCCTTGTTTATTTGGAGGTATAAACTATCCTGTCAACACCACAATCCAAAAGGACTGCAATAAATGGTGAGTTTAAACAAATAGCAAAATTAAATAAATGATTTATTACATTCAAAAACGTATTATGTTATGAATGGCATTGTTCGGTGGTTTTATATTGCCTTTTATGTTAAAGCACTTGTAAGGCTGGATCATGGCAGTGCACTGATAATCCATGTCCAAAATCCTGTCAAGTTTATGGAGATGGTCATTATATCACCTTTGATGGGAAAAGATACAACTTTGATGGCAACTGTGAATATATTCTTGTTGAGGTAGGTTGAAGAGGTTCATGTTATTAACCATATATTAACAGGCAAAAATATATATTAATTTTATCTACACTGAGATAATATGAAGACTTTTGCAGTCATAACAAATTGACCAGCAACAATTACAAAAATATCATTGTCAGCATTATGAATCAGAACTTTTTTCTTTGTGTTAACTGACAAACAGATTGAGTTAGGGAAAATTCTTAATTCCTTAATAAATGCAAACCCATAAGCACATACCTGTACTCAACATACATAATAATAATCATAATAATTATAAAAAACATACTGCTCATATCCACCTTCCATACAGCTAATTATTCCAGCTACCTGGGCCCTTCCTAGTGTAAAAGAAAAACAGAACCTGGTATTATAGGATCATTTTCCTGATGTAGAACATGATTATAATAATAATAAAATTAATAATCTTTTCATTTCATATAGCACCTGAACACGTAGTCAGAATATCTCAAAGTACTTTACAAGATTTAATTGTGAAGTGTAGTCACTGTATATTTGTAGGTAAACACAGCAGCCAATTTGCGCAAACTAATGTCCTACAGATAGCCATGAAGTGAATGATCAATTTTATCTGGAGGAGGAAAACCATGAGAAACTCGCTTCTCTTTTTTGAATGGTGCCATTGCATCTTTAATGGGCACCTGAACAGGCAGATGAGATCTTATATTAACGTCTCATCCGAAGGTTGGCACCTACGACAATGCAGTGTTCCTACAGTATTACATTGGAGAGTCAGGCTAGTCTATGACTTCTGAGTCCTGATCTGGGGAATAGAATCCACAACCTTCTGACTCAGAGATGAGAATGCTACCAGCTAAGCCAGGGTACCACTCTTAGCCCATTTGGAGTTTTAACTCAGAGATTTCAGTATTAATGATTTATGGTATGTACACTGATTCAGTTTATTTTACGGAGATCCTAGTCAGATCTATTGAGCATGTTCAGACATCCTCCCAAGATGAAAGGTGCTAATGTAAATGTGTATTGTATTTGTAAAAGCCTGTAGGAATTGAGGAAATTCAGTTGACATTTCCTTTTATCTTCAGGATGAGTGCAATAATGACCAAGAGAGTACACTCCAAGTACTTACAGAAAGTGTTGCATGTTGTGAAAATGGTGTGACATGCTCAAGAAATGTCAAAATTATACTTGAGGTATGTATTTTATTTACTAGTTTGTAATTACACGCAAGTAAATTGAAATTGAACATTATTATAAACTGTTATTTCTTATCCTTTAGGGTCAAGAATTAATTCTAACTGATAGCAGAGTGACAACAGTTGAGAATTCCCGTAGTCAAACAAATTGCACTAATACCTTCTATTCGCTTCATACTGTTGGATTGTATTTAATCCTTACATTTCTCAATGGGCTTACTGTGATATGGGACAAACACACAAGCCTTTCAATCATACTGGATCCATCATGGAAAGTGAGTATGCTTTGAAAATCACACATATTTACCAATATAGAAAATGTCTCAATTTATAGAAATTAATTTCTTTGGGAATTAATGTTGTTATTTATAATTGCACTGGGAAATATTATAATGGGAAAGAATACAGAGCACTATGAAAGAATAAAACTTTAACTACTCCATTATTGCACTGAAACATTTAAAATTGCTATCTTGAGATGCAATTTATAACAACAACAATAAGATTCCATTTATAGAGCGCCTTTCACGTCGGGAGGACGTCCCAAGGCGCTGTACAGTTGGGTCAGGACCCGATCAAGGGGGAAATGGTCAGGGTGAGGGGAGGGAAGGGAGGGAGCGAGGAGGGGGTAGAGCGTCGAGAGGGGAGCTGAAGGACACGGTCAAAGAGAAAGGTCTTGAGACCAGCCTTGAAGGAGGAAAGGGAGGAGGCGGCGAAGGTACTGGGGGATAGAGTTCCAGATCCTAGGGGCTGAGAGACTGAAGGCCCGGCCACCGATGGTAGGGTGGTTGGGGCGGGGGATAACTGTGATACTATTCAAACATTATCTTTTCTTTAGGTTGTTCTGCTCGTTCAAATGTGGAAAAACATGTAAACTATGAACTTGACTTATGTTATGAATAATCACTCATAAATTATGAAATTGTCTCATGTTATGAATAATCGTTCTTAAATGTATTAATTATTCATTTAAACAAATGATTATTCATAACATGAGCCAATTTCATAATTTACATGTTTTTCCACATTTGAAAGGTTGAATTGATTAAAACATTTGGTTATTCTTTAGATGCACAGCCAGCCTGAACCTATCCTCACTCGATATCTGCATATGTGTTTTACAGCAATGATCATCCATGATCATCCCACTTTCTGTTTGGCTTTTGCCAAGTCTGCAGAGATGGTCTAATAGCGTAGAGGCCAGTTCTGTTCAAAGATTTGTTTGCATATGAGAAGTATCGCTCTTCTGACTTTGAGATGATTAATTAAGTCTATGAAAAATAGCTTCTCTATTTGACCATGCTTTTGGCCAAATAGTGCCCCTTCACCCCCACCACCCACAATCCTCAGCTACCCCCTCCTCCCCTTCTAGTTGGGGCTCCCAGTCAGTTGTAAAAAGCACTTTAAGACATCCCTGACATGAAAGGCACTATATTATTTTTGTTCCTGTTATACAAGAAAAAATAACAAATCAGTAACACTCGATATCATGAAGAATTGTTTTATTTAAAGAATAGTCTAAGAATATAATATCTTTTTTTTAAATGTTTTTTTATGACAGAACAAAGTATGTGGCCTCTGCGGAAATTTCAACGGCAATGTTGCAGATGATTTAACAACGAAATGGAACTCTTTAGTGACTAATCCTATTGAATTTGGAAACAGCTGGAAATCGACAATAGCATGCTCTGATGTAAAAGATCAAGCTTTTCCCTGTGAAAGAAATCCGTATTGTTTATCATGGGCTCAAAGGAAATGCAGCATGATGAAAAATACACTGTTTGAAGCATGCCATAAAAAGGTATGGTGTAGTATATGGTGTAGCAAAACAATTGGGGAAAAATGTTGACATATTTTTCTGACACTGACACTCTGAAACTTACTAGGTTGATCCAATGCCCTATTATGACGCTTGCGTCCAGGAAGCTTGTGCCTGCGACATGGAGGGAAAATATCTTGGTTTCTGTACTGCTGTAGCAGTGTATGCAGAAGCTTGCAATAAAGCTGGTGTTTGCATTCACTGGAGAAACCCTGAACTGTGTCGTAAGTATTAGTTCCCACATTCACAATAACTGAGAAGCAATTGCTATTTTGTCTCCTATTTAGGATGTACTAAAAACATAGATAAGCAAAAGTAATAAATAAATTAAGAAAAATCAATTGTATATATTTTCTATTTCATTTTCTAACATGTTTTTACATGTGTAAAATATACCTATGATTTTTTCATGTTTTAAAGAGTTTGTGTTTCCTTTGGAAATTATCTAACTGACTGATGATCCCAAAGTAACAATTTCTATTTTGCAGCTGTATTTTGTGACTATTATGATGACCCTGGTGAATGCAGTTGGCACTATAAACCATGTGGGATAATGACATCAAAAACATGCAGCGACCATCATATCGGCAAAAAGTTCTCTGAAGTTCTTGAAGGTGCATTTAAACATTATTTTAACTTTATATCTTTAGTCATATAATTAATTTCAATATTAAGGGATTAAAGTTACTTTATGAAGCGCTTTAAGACATTCTCAATATTGTCAGCACAATATCAAATGCCCTTGCAGATTCCTCCATTGTGACTCATTGATTGAGAATGTCTCAAAGCACTTCACAAAGTAACTTTAATCCCTTAATATTGAAATTTCACTTAAACTTAATATTTTTAAGAATTTGCTTTTCGTTTTAGATAAAAAGATACAAATGCACAAAGAAGGTTTAGGATCCCTTGCATAATCTCTGTTATCAAAAATGTTGGCTATGACACGTAGCTCATAACATATTAATATTGCACATTGATATTTCCTCCTTTTTTATAATTAAATATAGGTTGCTATGCAAATTGCCCAGAAAGTGCCCCTTATCTGGATGAAAATACAATGAAGTGTGTTAACCTACCTGAATGCACATGTTTTTATAATGGAATTATACTGCAACCAGGTGAAATAACAAGAAATGACTGTGAAGAATGGTAATGTATTATGTTATTCTAATTAATCCTTTGCTCCGAGAGTGCAATGAAAATATTTATGACTCTGATGAAGATAAATGTTGTAATTATTTAAGATATCAGATTTCTCCATTCTGACTCAAGTTCTTAATAAGATGAGGTGAACCTTTGATATAGTCAGGGCATGTGGAATCGTGGGAGAGTTACGGAATGGTTAAGGAATGGCGAGGACACCAAAAACAAAGTGCTGGAGTTAAGGGTGTGTGTCAGACTGGCAAGAGGTAGGAAGTGTTTTTCAGTTGGGTTCTGTGTCTACTTTTCACCATATACATAAATGAGTTGGATTAAGGTATAGGAGATGTGGTGTCAAAATTTGCAAATGACACCAAACTGGGGGTATGGCAAACATGAAGAATATTGCAGAAGATTGCAGGAAGACATAATCAGGCCAGTAGCTTGGGCAGACAGATGGAAAATCAAGTTTAATGTATGAAAACACCAAGTAATTAATTTTGACAGGAAAGGGACATATTCGAATGTCGTTCACACGCACATCAGCGCACTTAAATGCCTGGTGCGATCGCCAGCGTACTCAAATGCCTGACAGTGACCGAAGCTTGGTCCCGACTACACCCTAGTGTGGCATCCACGGCTTACTCAAGCTTGGCCGCACCTACACATTGGTGTGTCACCCACAGGCTTACTCAAAACTACTGTCCTCTACTTGAAGTATTCAAACATTCAAGGAGACAATCACAAACTTCCTAGCTAATATAGTCAAATATTCACCTTTAAAAACAATCAGACGTTGATGTATTCAAACATGCAACATCATTAAACGTTCGTCAAGGCTTGATTGTACCTCTCTTGTCTGTTTACTGGGGAATCCTGCTGACTACGCCAAATCTGTTAGAAAATAAAATCAGCCAAATCTGTAAGGAAATAACGCTAATAACGTTACTAAATAACGTTGCTAAATAACGCAAATATACAGTCAATTCACTTTACAGTGTGTTCTGTGAAGCGCTTTGGGACGTCCTCCCGACGTGAAAACGCTATATCAAATGCAAGGATTATTATTATTATTATTATTATTGTAATTCCTTTAACCAGATATCTGACTCTTTTATTATTATTCGTTCGTTATTCCCCAATATCCCGATGGGTCAGACCACAGGCCGGTACAATCAACAGATCTTATAAACAGAATAACACCTCTATAGATATCTCGAGTTCAAGAGTTCAACACTGTCTTTCCAGCTCACAAGTTTGATTCTTCATGCTTTCAGTCTTCTTGCTTAGAGCTTCCAATCTTCCATCTGATATCCTCAGTCTTAGTGTTTCTAGCTCTCAGTCTTCCATCTCCCGTACCCTTGTCTCCGCAGCTTGGGACGGCCCCATCTCCCGTATCCTTGTCTCCGCGACCCGGCACAGCCCCATCTACCGTATCTTTGTCTCCGCGACCCGGGACGGCTCCATCTCCTGTATCCTTGTCTCCACGACCCGGGACGGCTCCATCTCCTGTATCCTTGTCTCCACGACCCGGGACGGCCCCGTACACAAAGTTATCGGAACTCTTATACCGATGTTCGTCCAATCATGGTGCGGACATCACCTGGTCGAAATCATGCTGGGTTCACGTGAACACCTCATGGGGTGTACGTGCCTCAGCACACATACACATTATCCTTAAGACCCCTGTTATCTGATCTAATTGTCTAAGATAGAAGATTGATCAGTTTACGACTGTATCTGGTGCTCATTATTTTGTGGTGTGGGATCATTAGTACATTCCTTTTAAGTGACTGGTTATTCCTTATCAGTATCCCGGGATGGTACCAAGGTCCTCTAGTTTAAACAACTTGCTCATTAATTGCTATTCTTGAGGGTTGCCTTCTGTCGCTCGGCAGGCCCTGTCAGAATCTAGCGACTTATTGCTCAGTCGAGATCCTGTGTCGACTGGTACCTTGGACCGTTAGCTCTGTGGCTTGTTGTCATTTACTGATAAGAGGTGACCCCCTGCCCCTGTCCGTTATTCTTTCAAAAACAGAGAAAACCAGATGTGTCCTATCTCATGACTGTCAGTCCAGTTGTCCCCCACACTTAACTTAAAAGTTAACCCATTCACAGCATCTAATATGATTCTAACATTATACAAAAAGTCTATATTCTAACAACTATAAGAAGGATATAGCAGCGATGGAATGAGTACAGTGTAGGTTTATGAGGATGATACCAGGGCTGGCAGATTACTGCCATCAGGATAGACTGGATAAGTTAGGCCTTTTTTTCCTAGAGAAGAGACACTTAAGGCAGGAACTGATCATGTTTGAAACTAGAAAATTGTTTGCATAAATAGGTTGTTTCTATTGGTTGGGGAGTCCGAAACCAGGGGACACAAGGATAAGCTAACAACTGAAGGATTCAAAGTGAATTTAGGCAAAACTGTTTCACACAGAGGCAAATGAGATTGTGAAACTCGTTGCCTGAAGCAATGGTTGACTCATACAACACATGAGGGAGAGGGAAATAAAAAGGTAAGAAGTGAATAAGGAGTGGACAGAGACTCGTGTGGAGTATAAATACCGGTGCGATCTGTTTGGGCTCGGTGTTCTGTTTCTGTCCCGCACATTTTTTGTAAATCTTTGTAAATAAACATTTCCATCACTCACAATTTGTAACTCACTGCACAGGACTGTGGAGTCCTGTAGCTGATTTGTTAGAGCACTCTCCTCATAAACAAGAGGACCTGGGTTCGATTCCCAGGCAGAGCAAAATGTTCGGTAAGTCTCCTTAGTCCACAACCATCTGTTTACCTAGCAGTAAGTAGGAACCTGGTTGTTAGTCAATTGGCGGATCCCTTCAAAATAAATAACTAAACAACTAAAATAATAATAATTTGGTCAATCAGTCCACGACTGTTGGTGGAACATAGCTGTGCGCAATTGCTACTGTGTTTCGCCCACGATATATGCGGCCAATTCACTTTGCAGTATATTCTGTGAAGCACTTTGAGATATTTTGAAGACGTGAAAGGCGTTATATCAAAAGCAAGGATTATTATTATTATATGGACAGAGGACCTCTTGTTTCTTATCCTTTTCTACCTGCTTTCCAATATATCCTTCAGTCTCTTCATCCGCTCTTTTGATCTTGCTTAGACATGACGGGCCAAATGAGCTGTTTCTTAGCTGTAACTTTCTAGGATTCTAAGATTGAATACATCTGTCTAAACATCATCTTTGAAAACACTTGTCAGATGTATTTACAAATTTCCCAGTAAACTACCATTTTTGCAGCCAGCGGCTCAGCATAATTTTTGCACTGGAAAAGTTTAGCTAATAACAGAAATGGAAAAAAAGACTTCAGTTTATTTTTGGGAGAAATAATAGAGCAGAAGTCCGTTAAAATTATTTTTGTATTGATGTAACAAAAAACGAGAACAACATCTGAAGTTTTTGTATTTTCTTTTACAGTGAATGCAAATATGGAAATGTCCAATGTAGAGGCAAGTAACTTTAATTCTTCAGATCTACTTACTGTGTATCATATGATGGTTATAGATAAGGCTAGGGAATGGCAACCTTAACAGTATTTATTATTTTTGAAATTTTTAGAAATCGGGAAATGTTTTAAAATTTCCTCACTTCCACTTAACTCAACATTTCCCTGTGTATCACTTGGCTTCACACAGTATAGTGATAATGGAAATTTGTCTTCATACTGCTCTTTCCACAATGCTCTGAACTGAACTGGAAAAAATAACAATAACTTTGATGTTCTGTATATACAGACCTTGGAATGTGAGCAAACAAAATGTTAGAAAATAAAATCAGCCAAATCTGTACGGAAATAACGCTAATTCCTTTAACCAGATATCAGACTGTTTTATTATTATTCGTTCGTTATTCCCCAATATCCCGATGGGTCAGACCACAGGCCGGTACAATCAACAGATCTTACAACAGAATAACACCACTATAGATATCTCGAGTTCAAGAGTTCAACACTGTGTCTTTACAGCACACAAGCTTGATTCTTCATGCTTTCAGTCTTCTTGCTTACAGCTTTCAATCTTCCATCTGATATCCTCAGTCTTAGTGTTTCCAGCTCTCAGTCTTCCATCTCCGTACCCTTGTCTCCGCAGCCTGGGATGGCTCCATCTCCCGTGTATCCTTATCTCCACGACCCGAGACGGCCCCATCTACCTTATCCTTGTCTCCGCGACCCGGGATGGCCCCATCTCTCTTATCCTTGTCTCCATGACCCGGGACGGCCCCGTTCACAAACTTAACGGAACTCTTATACCGATGTTTGTCCAATCATGGTGCGGACATCACCTGGTCGAAATCATGCTGGGTTCACGTGAACACCTCATGGGGTGTATGTGCCTCAGCACACATACACATTGTCCTTAAGACCCCTGTTATCTGATCTAATTGTCTAAGATAGAGGATTGATCAGTTTAGGGCTGTATCTGGTGCTCATTATTTTGTGGTGTGGGATCATTAGTACATTCCTTTTAAGTGACTGGTTATTTCTTATCAGTATCCCGGGATGGTACCAAGGCCCTTTAGTTTAAGCAACTTGCTCATTAATTGCTATTCTTGAGGGTTGCCTTCTGTCGCTCGGCAGGCTCTGTCAGAATCTAGCGACTTATTGCTCAGTCGAGATCCTGTGTCGACTGGTACCTTGGACCGTTACCTCTGTGGCTTGTTGTCATTTACTGATAAGAGGTGACCCCCTGCCCCTGTCCTGTATTCTTTCAAAAACAGAGAAAACCAGATGTGTCCTATCCCATGACTGTCAGTCCAGTTGTCCCCCACACTTAACTTAAAATTAACCCATTCACAACATTTATTATGATTCTAACATTATACAAAACGTGTAAATTCTAACAAAAATCAGCTGCTCTTTGGGAGCTTTGTCTCATTTTCACATTCTCTCTTCAAAAATGTGAAATATGTTTATGGTTCGAGGGGGATCAGAAACGTGGGACAGTAAGCCCAGTGCGAATATCACAGAATGAATCTGTATCACCAACTCCAATAATACAAGACCAATGGATTCAATCAGTAAAGTAAACTGAGAAATTGTGCATGGAATTAAATGCATCAATTTGAAGTTTCACACTTATAATTGTGGACAAACATACATCAGCAGTATTAAGACTCCACTCCCAAACTAATGAATAATTCCCAGCTTACTTTTGTTGCCTGGTTAACAACATCAAGCCTTTTCCTACATTTTATTAAAGGTCTAGCTCCCACAGCATTGATGTATTTCTTTTAAATGACATCCCTATCTCAACAGCACAAATCATTACGTCATCATTTACATTAACCTAATTGCATAAATGCTTTTCCCCTACAAAAAGAATAAGTACAACAACAGTGACAGGAATTGGGATGCCACCAAGAACAGGCACCCACACTATTACGTTACAGCTCATTCGACATCCACAACATGGCATGACTTTCGACATCAAAGTTTTCTTTTTCCATATCCAGCTATCTGTCTATTCGAAGCATCTGACATTTTCCTCTTGACTACATTATCAATCCTTTAATTACAAAATAGGAAGGTTCAGGACATATATCAGGAACAAAGTTGTATCACAAACTCGAACAACAAAAGGTCAATGGACTCAATAATATCAAACAGAGCAATTTGCCATGGAATCAAATGAAGTCAATTAAAGTTTCACAGCTTAACATGGACACGGGCACATCATCAGTAGTAAGGCTCCATTCTCAAACTAGTTGATATTTCACAACTTACCCTTGCTGCCTAGTTAACAATATCTATCCATTTCCTACATTCTTTTAAAGGTGCAGCTACAACAGTACAGACCAAGTTGACAACTGCCAGCCTTGCAACTGGTACGTGATTTATTTCTCTCTCTTTCATTCATAAGAAATGAAATGATAACAGAAACAATGATAACATCATCATTTCGATTACGACAACGACAACAAAATTACATTTATAGAGCGCCTTTCACGTCGGGAGAATGTGCCAAAGCACTGATTAACTTAATTGCCTGACGCTTTTCTTTTCAGGACTAACAAGTGCAACAATAGTGACAGGAAATTTGCCACAGAATTCAATGCATTCAATTAAAGTTTCACGTAACATGATCATGTATACATCATCAGTCGTAAGGCTCCATTCCCAAACAAGTTAATATTTCACAACTTACACTAGCTGCCTGGTTAATAAGATCTATCCATTTCCTATGTTCTTTTAAAGGTATAGCTCCAACAGTGGAGACCATGTTGACAACTATGCCGACTTCCAGCCTTGCAACTGGTACGTCATGTATATCTTTTTCTTTCATTCCTATCTACTCAGAAACAAAGATACCGTCAACATTTTATTTAACCTAATTGCCTGAATTGTTTTCTTTTACAGGAGTAATTAGTACAACAATAGTGACAGGAACTGGGACTCCACCAACGTCCGGCACCCAAACTGGTAAATGGAAGTTTTTGATGCATCAGCAACGTGGCATGACTTTGGATATCAATGTATTGAATAATAAAAAGCTCATATCAATACTTTTCACCAATTTTTCAACCCGTTCACAACAAAGCAACTGAGCTCACAGCAAATATCAGGAATAATGCTACATCACCGGCTAGAATCAGACTTAGAATAATGATAGATTAGAGGATTGAAGACAAATAAGGAACTGAGAAATAATGCACGGAATTTAATTTAATTCATTCAAATTTTCAAACTTTTCATTCTTGGAAAAAATGGACCTTGTCAGCTGGAACAGTACATTTCCAAACTGATGAATAATTCACCACTTATCCTTCCTGCCTAGCTGATAATATATTTCCATTTCCTGCTTTCATTTAAAGGTGTGACTCGAACAGTCGAGACCAAGTTGACAACCGGGTCTATTGCCAGCTCTGCAAGCAGTACGTGATTTCTTACTTTCTATTCCATCCCTACCTATATGAAAAAAATATTTCCACATAATTACCGATGGCCTTAATTGCCTGAATGCTTTTCTTTTTCAGGAGGAATAAGTACAACAAGGTTTAAAAGGTGTAACCTGGTCACGTGTACATCATCAGTCGTCAGGCTCCATTCCCAAACTAGTTAATATTTCCCAACTTACGTCAGGCTCCATTCCCAAACTAGTTAATATTTCCCAACTTACACTTACTACCTAGTAAATAATATCTATCCTTTTCCTGCTTTCTTTTAAAGGTGTAGCTCCAACAGTGGAGACCATGTTGACAACTGTGCCGACTGCCAGCCTTGCAACTGGTATGTCATGTATATCTTTTTCTTTCATTCCTGTCTACTCAGAAACAAAGATACCGTCATCATTTTATTTACCCTAATTGCCTGAATTGTTTTCTTTTTCAGGAGTAATAAGTACAACAATAGTGACAGGAACTGGGACTCCACCAACGTCCGGTACCCAAACTGGTAAATGGAAGTTTTTGATGCATGGCATGACTTTGGATATCAATGTCTTCCTTTGGCACTTCAATCTACCTGTGCAATAAAAGGCTCATACCAATACTCTTGAACAATTTGTCAATAACGTTCGCAACAAAATAACTGAGCTCACAACAAATATCAGGAATAATGCTACATCACCGGCTAGAATTAGACCAAGAATGATGGTAGATTAGAGGATTGAAGACAAATAGGGAACTGAGCAATAATGCACGGAAATTAATCACATTCATTTCAATTTTCCAACTTTTCATTGTTGGATGAATTTTGGATAAATCCTTGCTGCGTAGTTGATAATATATTTCCTTTTCCTGCTTTCATTTAAAGGTGTGACTCGAACAGTCGAGACCAAGTTGACAACCGGGTCTATTGCCAGCTCTGCAAGCAGTACGTGATTTTTTTTCAATTCCATTCCTACCTATATGAAAAAAATATTTCCACATAATTACCGATGACCTTAATTGCCTGAATGCTTTTCTTTTTCAGGAGGAATAAGTACAACAACAGTGACAGGAACTGGGATGACACCAAGAACAGGCACCCAAACTAGTAAGTCACAGCTCGTTAGACATCCACAACATGGCATGACGTGGATATCAAAGTTTTCTTTTTCCATTTCCAACTAACTGTCTATTCGAGCATCTGACAAGAACCCCTTGATTATATTGTCAATCGTTCAGAACAAAAGGTTCTGACAACATCGATGAACGTAGCTTTATCAGAAACTCAAAGAATATGAGGTTAATGGACTCAATAATATTGTAAACTCAGAAATTGGCCACAGAATTCAATGCATTCCATTAAGGTTTACGTGTAACCTGGTCACGTGTACATCATCAGTCGTCAGGCTCCATTCCCAAACTAGTTAATATTTCCCATTTACACTTACTACCTGTAAATAATATCTATCCTTTTCCTGCTTTCTTTTAAAGGTGTAGCTCCAACAGTGGAGACCATGTTGACAACTGTGCCGACTGCCAGCCTTGCAACTGGTATGTCATGTATATCTTTTTCTTTCATTCCTGTCTACTCAGAAACAAAGATACCGTCATCATTTTATTTACCCTAATTGCCTGAATTGTTTTCTTTTTCAGGAGTAATAAGTACAACAATAGTGACAGGAACTGGGACTCCACCAACGTCCGGTACCCAAACTGGTAAATGGAAGTTTTTGATGCATGGCATGACTTTGGATATCAATGTCTTCCTTTGGCACTTCAATCTACCTGTGCAATAAAAGGCTCATACCAATACTCTTGAACAATTTGTCAATAACGTTCGCAACAAAATAACTGATCTCACAACAAATATCAGGAATAATGCTACATCACCGGCTAGAATTAGACCAAGAATAATGTTAGATTAGAGGATTGAAGACAAATAGGGAACTGAGCAATAATGCACGGAAATTAATCACATTCATTTCAATTTTCCAACTTTTCATTGTTGGATGAATTTTGGATAAATCCTTGCTGCCTAGTTGATAATATATTTCCTTTTCCTGCTTTCATTTAAAGGTGTGACTCGAACAGTCGTGACCAAGTTGACAACTGGGTCTATTGCCAGCTCTGAAAGCAGTACGTGATTTATTCTCTATTCCATTCCTACCTGTATGAAAAAAATATTTCCACATAATTACCGATGACCTTAATTGCCTGAATGCTTTTCTTTTTCAGGAGGAATAAGTACAACAACAGTGACAGGAACTGGGATGACACCAAGAACAGGCACCCAAACTAGTAAGTCACAGCTCGTTAGACATCCACAACATGGCATGACATTGGATATCAAAGTTTTCTTTTTCCATTTCCAACTAACTGTCTATTCGACGCATCTGACACGAACCCCTTGATTATATTGTCAATCGTTCAGAACAAAAGGTTCTGACACACGTCATGAATGTAGCTGGATCACAAACTCGAAGAACATGAGGTCAATGGACTCAATAATATTGTAAACTCAGAAATTTGCCACAGAATTCAATGCATTCAATTAAGGTTTAAAACGTGTAACCTGGTCACGTGTACATCATCAGTCGTCAGGCTCCATTCCAAACTAGTTAATATTTCCCAACTTACACTTACTACCTAGTAAATAATATCTATCCTTTTCCTGCTTTCTTTTAAAGGTGTAGCTCCAACAGTGGAGACCATGTTGACAACTGTGCCGACTGCCAGCCTTGCAACTGGTATGTCATGTATATCTTTTTCTTTCATTCCTGTCTACTCAGAAACAAAGATACCGTCATCATTTTATTTACCCTAAATTGCCTGAATTGTTTTCTTTTTCAGGAGTAATAAGTACAACAATAGTGACAGGAACTGGGATGACACCAAGAACAGGCACCCAAACTAGTAAGTCACAGCTCGTTAGACATCCACAACATGGCATGACGTGGGATATCAAAGTTTTCTTTTTCCATTTCCAACTAACTGTCTATTCGACGCATCTGACATGAACCCCTTGATTATATTGTCAATCGTTCAGCACAAAAGTTTCTGGCACACATGATGAATGTAGCTGGATCACAAACTCGAAGAACATGAGGTCAATGGACTCAATAATATTGTAAACTCAGAAATTTGCCACAGAATTCAATGCATTCCATTAAGGTTTTGCACATGTAACCTGGTCACGTGTACATCATCAGTCGTCAGGCTCCATTCCCAAACTAGTTAATATTTCCCAATTTACACTTACTACCTGTTAAATAATATCTATCCTTTTCCTGCTTTCTTTTAAAGGTGTAGCTCCAACAGTGGAGACCATGTTGACAACTGTGCCGACTGCCAGCCTTGCAACTGGTATGTCATGTATATCTTTTTCTTTCATTCCTGTCTACTCAGAAACAAAGATACCGTCATCATTTTATTTACCCTAATTGCCTGAATTGTTTTCTTTTTCAGGAGTAATAAGTACAACAATAGTGACAGGAACTGGGACTCCACCAACGTCCGGTACCCAAACTGGTAAATGGAAGTTTTTGATGCATGGCATGACTTTGGATATCAATGTATTCCTTTGGCACTTCAATCTACCTGTGCAATAAAAGGCTCATACCAATACTCTTGAGCAATTTGTCAATAACGTTCGCAACAAAATAACTGAGCTCACAACAAATATCAGGAATAATGCTACATCACCGGCTAGAATTAGACCAAGAATGATGGTAGATTAGAGGATTGCAGACAAATAGGGAACTGAGCAATAATGCACGGAAATTAATCACATTCATTTCAATTTTCCAACTTTTCATTGTTGGATGAATTTTGGATAAATCCTTGCTGCGTAGTTGATAATATATTTCCTTTTCCTGCTTTCATTTAAAGGTGTGACTCGAACAGTCGTGACCAAGTTGACAACTGGGTCTATTGCCAGCTCTGAAAGCAGTACGTGATTTATTCTCTATTCCATTCCTACCTGTATGAAAAAAATATTTCCACATAATTACCGATGACCTTAATTGCCTGAATGCTTTTCTTTTTCAGGAGGAATAAGTACAACAACAGTGACAGGAACTGGGATGACACCAAGAACAGGCACCCAAACTAGTAAGTCACAGCTCGTTAGACATCCACAACATGGCATGATGTTGGATATCAAAGTTTTCTTTTTCCATTTCCAACTATCTGTCTATTCGAAGAGTCTGACATGACCCCCTTGATTATATTGTCAATCGTTCAGAACAAAAGGTTCTGACACACATGATGAATGTAGCTCTATCACAAACTCAAAGAACATGAGGTCAATGGACTGAATAATATTGTAAACTCAGAAATTTTCCACAGAATTCAATGCATTCAATTAAGGTTTTGCACGTGTAACCTGGTCACGTGTACATCATCAGTTGTGAGGCTCCATTCCAAAACTAGTTAATATTTCCCAATTTACACTTACTACCTGGTAAATAATATCTATCCTTTTCCTGCTTTCTTTTAAAGGTGTAGCTCCAACAGTGGAGACCATGTTGACAACTATGCCGACTGCCAGCCTTGCAACTGGTATGTCATGTATATCTTTTTCTTTCATTCCTGTCTACTCAGAAACAAAGATACCGTCATCATTTTATTTACCCTAATTGCCTGAATTGTTTTCTTTTTCAGGAGTAATAAGTACAACAATAGTGACAGGAACTGGGACTCCACCAACGTCCGGTACCCAAACTGGTAAATGGAAGTTTTTGATGCATGGCATGACTTTGGATATCAATGTATTCCTTTGGCACTTCAATCTACCTGTGCAATAAAAGGCTCATACCAATACTCTTGAACAATTTGTCAATAACGTTCGCAACAAAATAACTGAGCTCACAACAAATATCAGGAATAATGCTGATTATTCAGCATTAATGTACCATCACCGGCTAGAATTAGACCAAGAATAATGGTAGATTAGAGGATTGAAGACAAATAGGGAACTGAGCAATAATGCACGGAAATTAATCACATTCATTTCAATTTTCCAACTTTTCATTGTTGGATGAATTTTGGATAAATCCTTGCTGCCTAGTTGATAATATATTTCCTTTTCCTGCTTTCATTTAAAGGTGTGACTCGAACAGTCGTGACCAAGTTGACAACTGGGTCTATTGCCAGCTCTGAAAGCAGTACGTGATTTATTCTCTATTCCATTCCTACCTGTATGAAAAAAATATTTCCACATAATTACCGATGACCTTAATTGCCTGAATGCTTTTCTTTTTCAGGAGGAATAAGTACAACAACAGTGACAGGAACTGGGATGACACCAAGAACAGGCACCCAAACTAGTAAGTCACAGCTCGTTAGACATCCACAACATGGCATGACGTGGGATATCAAAGTTTTCTTTTTCCATTTCCAACTAACTGTCTATTCGACGCATCTGACACGAACCCCTTGATTATATTGTCAATCGTTCAGAACAAAAGGTTCTGACATACGTCATGAATGTAGCTGGATCACAAACTCGAAGAACATGAGGTCAATGGACTCAATAATATTGTAAACTCAGAAATTTGCCACAGAATTCAATGCATTCAATTAAGGTTTAAAACGTGTAACCTGGTCACGTGTACATCATCAGTCGTCAGGCTCCATTCCCAAACTAGTTAATATTTCCCAACTTACACTTACTACCTAGTAAATAATATCTATCCTTTTCCTGCTTTCTTTTAAAGGTGTAGCTCCAACAGTGGAGACCATGTTGACAACTGTGCCGACTGCCAGCCTTGCAACTGGTATGTCATGTATATCTTTTTCTTTCATTCCTGTCTACTCAGAAACAAAGATACCGTCATCATTTTATTTACCCTAATTGCCTGAATTGTTTTCTTTTTCAGGAGTAATAAGTACAACAATAGTGACAGGAACTGGGACTCCACCAACGTCCGGTACCCAAACTGGTAAATGGAAGTTTTTGATGCATGGCATGACTTTGGATATCAATGTCTTCCTTTGGCACTTCAATCTACCTGTGCAATAAAAGGCTCATACCAATACTCTTGAACAATTTGTCAATAACGTTCGCAACAAAATAACTGAGCTCACAACAAATATCAGGAATAATGCTACATCACCGGCTAGAATTAGACCAAGAATAATGGTAGATTAGAGGATTGAAGACAAATAGGGAACTGAGCAATAATGCACGGAAATTAATCACATTCATTTCAATTTTCCAACTTTTCATTGTTGGATGAATTTTGGATAAATCCTTGCTGCCTCGTTGATAATATATTTCCTTTTCCTGCTTTCATTTAAAGGTGTGACTCGAACAGTCGCGACCAAGTTGACAACAGGGTCTATTGCCAGCTCTGCAAGCAGTACGTGATTTGTTTTATTTTCCATTCCTAGCTGTATGAAAAAAATATTTCGACATAATTACCGATGACCTTAATTGCCTAAATGCTTTTCTTTTTCAGGAGGAATAAGTACAACAACAGTGACAGGAACTGGGATGACACCAAGAACAGGCACCCAAACTAGTAAGTCACAGCTCGTTAGACATCCACAACATGGCATGACGTGGGATATCAAAGTTTTCTTTTTCCATTTCCAACTAACTGTCTATTCGACGCATCTGACACGAACCCCTTGATTATATTGTCAATCGTTCAGAACAAAAGGTTCTGACATACGTCATGAATGTAGCTGGATCACAAACTCGAAGAACATGAGGTCAATGGACTCAATAATATTGTAAACTCAGAAATTTGCCACAGAATTCAATGCATTCAATTAAGGTTTAAAACGTGTAACCTGATCACGTGTACATCATCAGTCGTCAGGCTCCATTCCAAAACTAGTTAATATTTCACAACTTACACTTTCTACCTTGTAAATAATATCTATCCTTTTCCTGCTTTCTTTTAAAGGTGTAGCTCCAACAGCGGAGACCATGTTGACAACTGTGCCGACTGCCAGCCTTGCAACAGGTACGTCATGTATATCTTTTTCTTTCATTCCTATCTACTCAGAAACAAAGATACCATCATCATTTTGTTTACCCTAATTGCCTGAATTGTTTTCTTTTTCAGGAGTAATAAGTACAACAATAGTGACAGGAACTGGTACTCCACCAACGTCCGGTACCCAAACTAGTAAGCCACAGGTCGTTAGACATCCACAACATGGCATCATGTTGGATATCAAAGCTTTCTTTTTCCATTTCCAACTATCTGTCTATTCGAAGAGTCTATTCGAAGAGTCATATAATATTGACAGATTATATTGTCAATCGTTCAGCACAAAAGTTTCTGACACACATGATGAATGTAGCTCTATCACAATCTAAAAGAACATGAGGTCAATGGACTGAATAATATTGTAAACTCAGAAATTTTCCACAGAATTCAATGCATTCAATTAAGGGTTTGCACGTGTAACCTGGTCACGTGTACATCATCAGTTGTGAGGCTCCAATACAAAACTAGTTAATATTTCCCAATTTACACTTACTACCTGCTAAATAATATCCATCGTTTTCCTGCTGTCTTTTAAAGGTGTAGCTCCAACAGCGGAGACCATGTTGACAACTGTGCCGACTGCCAGCCTTGCAACTGGTAGGTCATGTTTACCTTTTTCTTTCATTCCCATCTAACACTAACAATAGTGACTGAAACTGGGTCTCCATTAATGACCATCACCCATTCTGGTTCGTGACAGATTACATCCACAGCATGGCATACTTTTTTATTGGTGGGGTATGTTTTTATTACCCGTTGCAATGATTGATGGTTAATCATTGTCATATGGTTCGTTTTGCAAAATACATTTACATTTTGCATTATATTTCAGAAGCTAAGATTGCTTGCACAATAAATATTTGTGTGTTGAATGAACAGTAAGATCAAATAAATTAAGTATCTCGGCATATTTAGCATTTATTGTTTACATTTCCTTGTTGTCTGAAAAACTGTCCTACAGAAAAGTTAACCGATTGGTAAATGTTTTCTTAACTAAATGACCACACTGTTACCTTTTGTTTATCCTGTGCCAGGATGGGGTGGGAATGGGAGCTGGAGGCCCTCCAATGCACCAGTGCTCCATCAAGGACCTGGACCAGTCGCAGGATAGGGTGGGAGGCCTCTTTGATGCAACATGTCATCTTTTAGGACAAGTTATCCGATCAATTTTACATTGGAAGTACGAAGAGTTTCTAAAATGCAATGATTTACCTGTTAAACAGAGTGACAAGTAAAGTGAAGTCCCTTATTGATGTTATGCAAGCAGTCGGAATATTGATGGCATGCTCATTTAAGAGATAAATGTTCAATGGTGCAAAACAAAGTGGGGGTCAGATCAACTCTCCCTCCCACGCTGACCTCTCCACCATCTGGGTCCCAGACACACCTTTTCTCTCCCTGATCTGCCTGTTTTATTGCAAGTTCTTCTCCCCCTCCCCCTCCCTCTTGTTCTGCATTATTGACATTAGCATTAACATTAGCATCATCATTCACATTCCTATTTTTCTCCATAGTCGACCAGTGCAATACCTTTGCCTACAACAAAACAGTCAAGGTAGAAAACTGTGAAGAAACAATTCAAGTGCAAAGATGTGAAGGACATTGTCGATCAGCAACTGAGTAAGGATATTTAAACTTTAAACAAGCAAAATAAAGAAACAGATGATTTGACAATTTATATTTATTTTGTACCTTTCACATGGGGAGGGCAACTCAAAGTAATTTGCACAGCTGTCTATGAGTTCTTGCAGGGTGGTTGAGTGGAGATGAGGAGAAACATGGTTGCAAGTAATGGTCCATCTCCATTTCTGTGTTCTCACATAAGAAAACTATTTTAAAGTATTTTTATGTTTTGGAAACTGTGATATTACTAAGGATAATTGTGGTAAGTTGCTACATTATGTGATATGTTTTATTTTAGATTCAACTTCGAAACAAGCAAAATGAGTATTACGTGCGAGTGCTGTCGGGAACTGAAGACTGAAGAAAAGTCAGTAGAATTGAAGTGTGAAAATGGAACTAGTATGAATTATAAATATATCAACATTGAGTCCTGTTCATGCAAATAGTTTGAAAGCATTGTGTAGAGGTCGTTACACAAATAGATCTGACCATGATTTCAAGCTAACTTAAACATTGCTTGAAATTTAATTTTGTAAACAAATTCACTAATGAATTCCTTTCAATCAATTGTTGCAGGAAAACAATGTTGTAGGCTGTCAATAACTGAACTGCTTTTTGATAAGGGGTGGCTGGAATATTTGCAGCACTTCTACTGCATCATGTACAAATCATTTCATAACCAGAAAAGAGAATCAATAAATGTATTTGAAAGTCTCACCTGTAGCCAATTATTGTGCTGCACATTTTATTTGGAAACAATACTTAGAATAATAATAATAATAATAATAATAATAATAATAATAATAATAATAATAATAATAATAATAATAAAAATAATAATAATAATAATAATAATCCTTGCATTTGATATAGCGCTTTTCACGTTTTCTAGACGTCCCAAAGCGCTTCACAGAATATACTGCAAAGTGAATTGACTGTATATTTGTGGGCGAACGCAGCAGCCAATTGCGCACAGCAATGTCCCACAAACAGTCATGGATTGAAAATGACCAATTTATTATTGTTTTTTGTTTTGGAGGGATTATTATTAGGCTCTGTGTGGAGTAAGAAAACTTGCCCAAGGTTTCGCCCTCTGCCTGGAATTGAACTCAGGTCTCTCGCTTGCAAAGCGAGTGCTTTAACCACTGAGCTACAGGATGTTACATTTATTGTACTGTTTTTGCATTGCTGGTAACAATGCAATACATTTAATTAAATTATAAAGTTGGTATAAAATGCAAATTTCCCCACCTTAACATGACCAAACAAAAATCAATTCGGATAAAAAAATGTTGTTTAGTGAGCAGCAACGAGTGGTTAGGCATTTGAAAGAAAGAAATGAAAGAGCATCAAATCTTTCTGAATAGAGTAATGGTATTTTTAACGTCCACCTGAACAGGCAGTCAGGATCACTGAACTATGTAGAAGGCACCAATGTATAATTTGAAATAATTCTAAGGGGGATTACATTAGTTAATTTCAATTTCACTTTTGAAAGCAAAATGTTTTCTTCTTTGATTAGTTGCAAAGCAATTAAAAATAAAAGACACTTTTTAGACTCTGCTATACTATAGTCAAGCCAGCCCAGACGAGTCCGCAGTATTTCAGAGCATTACTAATGACAGCACAGACAGCCTGACTCATTGGCAGGACCTGGAAGGGCTCACTGGAGGCACGGAGTCATCCCACTCAGCTCCTGTTAACCCTGCAAGCCAAAGCCCTAATGGGTAGGGTGGTCTTAGCTGGACAAGCACCAGCATCAATGGTAAGCTATGAGGTTTTAGCTGGTTAGACTCCAGCAGTTACTCCTGGGATCCCCAAGCCTTGGCTCTTGCCAACCTGCGTTGGCTCTGGAACCCTATCCCCCAGTACCTTCGCCGCCTCCTCCCTTTCCTCCTTCAAGGCCGGTCTCAAGACCTTTCTCTTTGACCGTGCCTTCAGCTCCCCTCTCGACTCTCTACCCCCTCCTCACTCCCTCCCTTCCCTCCCCTCACCCTGACCATTTCCCCCCTGCTCGGGTCCTGACCCAACTGTACAGCGCCTTGGGACGTCCTCCCGACGTGAAAGGCGCTCTATAAATGGAATCCTGTTGTTGTTGTTGTTGTTGTTGAATACTTTCTGGAATTAGGTAAGCAGGATATGTCCCTCCAGGGACAGAGTGCGATTCCATTCCAACAATCTATCTCTGGAATTTCCATGTATAGGTGGGAGGCATAGAATTCTCAGTTTGGTTTGGATACTCTTAAGCAGAGTTTACGCATGTGTTAGACACCTGGCTGACCAAAAAAAACTAAAACAGCAGTTCAGAGACAGGGTGTCAATATTTCAACAATTTCTTTTCATGGCATTTGAAACAGACTATTGCACATAATATAGTAAATTTGGTGAAAATCTAAATGTGAGTTACTCGGTTGAGAAATTTTGCAGAAAATTGTGTGGAGTTTATAATAATAATAATCCTTGCATTTGATATAGCGCTTTTCACGTCTTCCAGATGTCTCAAAGCGCTTCACAGAATAGACTGTAAAGTGAATTGACTGTATATCTGTGGATGAAACGCGGCAGCCAATTGCACACAGCAGTGTCCCACCAACAGTCGTGGTTTGAAGTGACCAATTTTACTATTGTTTTATTTTCTTGGCGTATGAAGTAAGGAAACTAGCCCAAGGTTACACCCTGTCGGGAATCGAACCCAGGTCGAACACACAGAGACAGAGACTCACACAGACATTAACACAGAGAGACGGACACTCACAGACACTCACAGAGAGAGAGAGACTCACAGAGAGAAAGACACTCACACAGAGAGACAGAGACTCACACACAGACACTCACACAGAGATTCACACAGAGAGACAGACACTCACACAGACACTCAGAGAGAGAGACAGAAATTCACAGAGACACTCACAGAGAGAGACACACACAGACATTCACAGAGAGAGACACAGTCATTCTCACAGATATTCAGAGAGAGTGACAAACACACATTCACAAAGACACTCACAGAGAGAGACAGACAGATACTCACACAGACACTCACAGAGAGAGACACACAGTCACTCCCACAGACACTCAGAGAGATGCACAGACACTCACAGAGAGAGAGAGAGAGACATTCACACAGACACTCACAGAGAGAGAAACACACAGACACTCACAGAGACAGACAAAGACACACAGAGAGAGAGACAAACACTCAGAGAGAGCCAGAGACTTGCGGAGAGAGACAGAGACTCACAGAAGATACAGACACAAAAAGAGACACACAGACTCACACACAGACACTCACAGAGAGAGAGAGACAGACAGAGAGACATTCACAGAGAAAGATATTCAGTCACTCTCACAGACACTCAAGGAGAGTGACAAACACACATTCACAAAGACACTCCCAGAGAGAGACAGACAGACACTCATACAAACACTCACAGAGTGAGACAGACAGACACTCACACAGACAATCACAGAGAGAGACAGACAGACACTCATACAGACACTCACAGAGTGAGAGATAAACAGACACTCACGCGGACACTCACAGAGAGAGACACACAGACACTCACAGAGAGAGACACAGACACTCTCATAGAGAGAGGCACACAGTCACTCCCACAGACACTCATAAAGATACACAGACACTCACACAGACACTCACAGAGAGAGAAACAGATAGACACTCACACAGACACTCCCAGAGAGAGACAGACAGACAGACATTCATACAGACACTCACCTCGAGAGACTAACAGAGAGACGGACACTCACACAGACATTCACACAGACACTCACCTCACAGAGAGAGAGAGACACAGACACTCACAGAGACACACACAGAGAGACAGACACTCAAAGAGAGAGACAGAGATTCACAGAAAGAGACAGACACGCACACAGAGAGAGACACAGAGACACTCTCAGAAAGAGTCACACAGTCACTCACACAGACACTCACAGAGACAGACAGAGACTCACAGAGACAGAGATTCACACAGAGAGACAGACACTCACACAGACATTCACCCAGAGAGACGGACACTGACACAGACACTCACACAGAAACAGAGAGAGAGACAGACAGACATTCACACAGAGAGACGGGCACTCACACAGACACTCACACAGACAGAAGGACACCCACACATTCATTCACACAGACACTCACAGAGATAGACAGACACTCAAAGAGAGAGACAAAGACTCACAGAAAGAGATAAACACTCACACAGAGAGACAGACACTCACACAGAGACTCACACAGAGAAACAGACACTCACACAGAGAGATGGACACTCACACAGAGAATCACACAGAGAGACGGACACTCACACAGACAGTCACACAGACACTCACAGAGAGAGACAGACAGACACTCACAGAGACAGACAGAGACTCACAGAGAGAGACAGACACTCACACAGAGACTCACACAGAGAGACAGACACTCACACTGACACTCACACAGAGAGACGGACACTCACAGAGAGAGACACACACAGACACTCACAGAGAGAGACACACACAGACACTCACAGAGAGTGACACACACAGACACGCACAGAGAGAGACACACAGTCAATCTCACAGAAACTCAGAGAGATACACAGATACTCACACAAAGAGAGAGACAAAGACTCATAGAAAGAGACAGACACTCACACAGAGAGACAGACACTCACACAGAGAGATAGACACTCAAATAGACACTCAAATAGAGAGACACACACAGGCACTCACAGAGACAGACATAGACACACAGAGAGAGACAAACACTCAAAGAGAGAGACAGAGACTCACAAAGAGACACAGACACTCACACAGAGAGGACACTCGCACAGAGAGACAGACAATCACACAGAGAGACAGACACTCACACAGAGAGACAGACACCCACACAGTCTCACACAGACACTCACAGAGAGAGAGACACACACAGACACTCACAGAAACAGACAGAGCCACACACAGAGAGACAAACACTCAAAGAGAGAGACAAGAGACTCACAGATAGAGACAGACACTCACAGAAAGAGACAGACTCACAGAGAGAGAGAGACACTCATACAGAGTGACAGACACTCACACAGAGAGACAGAGACTCACAGAGAGAGACAGACACTCACACAGAGACTCACACAGAGAGACAGACACTCACACAGACACTCACAGAGAGACGGACACTCGCATAGACACTCTCACAGACACTCACAGAATGAGACACACACAGACACTCTCACAGAGCGAGACACACAGTCAATCTCATAGAAACTCAGAGAGATACACAGGTAAACATTCACACAGACACTCACTGAGAGAGACAAATAGACAATCACACAGACACTCACACAGATAGACGGATACTCACACAGACACTCACACAGAGAGACGGACACTCACAGAGAGAGACACACAGACACTCACAGAAAGAGACACACAGTCAATCTCACAGAAACTCAGAGAGATACACAGACACTCACAGAGAGAGATATACAGACACTCACACAAAGAGAGAGACAGAGACTCACAGAAAGAGACAGACACTCACACAGAGAGACAGACACTCACACAGAGACTCACACAGAGAGATAGACACTCACACAGACACTCACAGAGAGAGACACACACAGACACTCACAGAGAGTGACACACACAGACACGCACAGAGAGTGACACACACAGACACGCACAGAGAGAGACACACAGTCAATCTCACA